AAAACGACTATTTTATTATATTATAATACTTAAATGAGTTTTTAATACATTTTAAATGTTCGAAAGCCATATTATTACAGACCCAAACTTGGGAGTTTAATATCCATTAGTCATTGTTTTACAATGATGAGTTCATTACATGTAATTATTAGTAATTAGGTGAAGAAAGGAACAACAAATCAAAGTTAATAGGGTGAGTGTAAGGGGCGGTATAAAACAAAAACTGCCTTTGAATTTCTTTTGATGATAAGTTAAGTTATTAGGTTCTTGAGCATTGGATGTGACTAGGTTTTTGGAAGGTACAATCGAATGTCATTTATCGATGGTAATTTTCTAATTTTGTGCGGGAATGGTGAAATAAGATAAACTTGATAGCGTTTAGAGTGAGGAGATACTAATGTAAATTTTGATGTACGAAGATGAGTAATAAGAAGGACACATCTATACACCGAGTAGTTCATCAAAACGTAACTAGTGTGCTAGTGAGATGCTTGGAGGATAAAATTAAACACATGTTTTGTGAATGTGATTAGTAATGAGTGTGGCCTAATGAGAATTAAGATCAAACACAAAATTAGTTCGTCTGTAAACTTGACTGTTATGGACTTGCCATCGAAGATCTATAAGGCGCCGAGTCTTAATCAGAAATGGTCATACTGTGCACGAGAGTCAAAGTTGCATTGCGTCTCGCAATGAGTTACAATAATCAAATAGTGTTTTGGAGAATTTCTTACATACACATTTAACTCAAGGCCAATGTCGTTAGTATTTACAAATTTAATTAACTCGAGAACATACTTGTTAAATACCAAGGTATTCGCCAACGTAAGTTTTATCGAGTGGTCGTGACGTCCTATTTTAAACTCATAAATCTTGATTTCAATGTTATTTAAACCAAGTACCAAATCAACCCTTAATTATTTCTCTTGTCAAGTGGACACCTCACTCAAATTAGCTGGCTATCTCTCTCTCTCTCTCTCTCTCTCTCTCTCTCTTTTTTCAATATGAATTGCTGACAAGATATTTTCTTTGAGAAGGCAAAATGACAAGTCATTATGTATAATTAACTATCAATTAGCAAGTGGGAGGGGGCAATAAGGCCAAGAGTTAGGCTAATATCTTTGTCGTTGCAAAAAATTAGCTTGGACAGGGGATGTGTGTGCCCTCCAATTCTATATTAGTGCCCTTCACCAGTATGTTCCTTTGTGCCTTACCAGCTCACCATATATATTTTTCTCATATCATTATTTTTTTTTATCATAAACATGACAAAATTTATACTACTTTTCGCACCAAAAAAAAAAAAAAAATTTATACTACTTTGAGAATCGAAACCCTAATCGTGTTATATAATAGCCAATGACGAGCTTTCAAATTGAATATAAAATCGAACGTAAATCTATAGGGACAGAATCTACGAGGCCAAATAATAAGTCGATAAAATTACTTCCTCGATATATGAGGCAGACCTAAATGATCTGATGTGTAGATGTATAGGCTCTTTTACTGCTTACAAGTTGCAAGTTGCAACCATGATATAGAACATCAATGATCTCCTAAAACCTCCAAGCTAATGAGAAATTTCCAAATCATTTTACTATTTTAGGCACCTAACAATCCACCCTTTTCACATGTGACCAAGGTTGTGAACCCACGGGTCGAGCCACTCTGACCCTGACCCGGTGAGAAAAACAGGCTGCACGCATCCGTCGGGTCGACCGCTACAAGGTACCGGGTTAGAGGTCAAATTGTGTCATTTTTTTCTTTGGTTTGCGAAATGCGCCTATTTTCCGATTTTCTTTTCGCCTAACTCAATCTTTGGAATCCTAAGTTGAACATTTGAATATTGTTGTTATATAATTGGGTGTGAATTTTCACTATCTGTTGGATCTAAGTACGACATGTTATTTTAGTGTAATATTATATGTTATAACTCATATGTTAGATGAGATTTGATATAATTTATCAGGATAAGTATAATATAATGACTCTTTCCATATTTCCAGGCTAAACGGGCTAAACCGGGTGACCCATTAACCCTTGACCCACTAGTTTCACCGGGTCCGGATCAACCCGCGGGTTGACAACCTTGCATTTGACTTTGTTTTCTTTTTTTATTTAAATTTTAAATTTAGTAGGGAATTTGAGTTTAGGGTCCTAGACTCCCTAGTAGTTGCTAAAAATAATAATTGCAACAACCTATAGCTAGTTTGGTAGCGTTTAATTTGGTACACTCATATAATTGAATGCTCAATCGTTGTCGTCCACGCTCACAATGTTTGGCGCCACACTTTCCCGTTTGTTAATCAATAATATAAATTTGGGCTAAATTGCAAGTTTGGTCACTTGAATTACTAGTAAAATTCATGTTACCCACTAGAATTATTTTATTTCATCCATAGTCACTTAAATTAGGTTAACAGTCCAAGTTTGGTCACTAGCTGTTAGTCTCCGTAAACTTTTATCGATATAGCATTCAACACTTATAGTTGATCATTAAATGAGTGACGTGGCAATTAAAAAATTTAAAAATTAATGTTTCTATTTTCCACCTTACGTTCATTAAACAATAAAATAAAAACAAAACCTAATTTCTCTTCTTCTACTAGCCTCACCCCTCTCGTTGTCTTCTCCCCTGCCTCTTTGAACAAGCGTCGTCGCCATCGCCATGGTTGTATTTGGCACCGTCATCCTCCTTTCCCTCTGCCTCCAGAAATCCATCACTGTTGCTGCTTAATTCTCACCCATCCACCTCTATCGCCGCAGCCCATCGCCCACCAGTCTCAATCTCTGCGATCTTGCATCCCTTTCATAAAAGCTTCGGTAGCAGCGACAGTCGATTTAACCCGCGAATTTGGATGCTTTCTACCAATCCTCAAATTCGTTGCTGTAGCCGGGGGGTCTCCGGGGGCAGGGATAATGGGTAGATAATATCTCTCTCTCAAAGCACGAGAGAGTCTACCAGTCTATGTCCTTTGAGAAAGGCTACATAACTGGAGTACTAAGCTTGCGTGTTCATGCGATGACTTCTCCATCACTTGCAGAATGGCTAATGTTATTGTTGTATCCATCTCCATAACTATCCGTTGAAAATGAATAACTTTGAAAGCTATAGAGTCTCAAGGTGGGAAAACTACCACATTGGTAGTTTTACTTTGGTGAAATATGTATAAAGATATGAGCCTCTCTCCTAAGGGCATGCCCCTTGGGGTGATCTACTTTTGTGGGAGAGGGAGGACCTAACGGACCACCACACGCGCGCACCATCGGTCGGTCGGGTGGGTGGGTCAGCTTGAGACTATAATTTTGGAGAAATTATGAACAAAATTAATTAATTATTAATCGGTTATTCTTTATCCTAGATAAATACGAGTTGTAAGAGGATAATCAATTAAAAAGGAATATTCGAAGGATGATCCAGCAAGATTTATCTTAACCGACTCGGTTTTAATTAAGGAGTAATTATCTCCTTAATTACCGTGACTTATTCCCCACGAAAGAGGGTATATTCCTAGGGGTTCGGCTACTATAAATAGCGGCCTCCCCAGCCCCTCTAAACACACCACAACGAGCAGAAACACAATAGAGAGAGTGTTCAGAGAGCTCATGTTTTCGCACAAAACCGCCGAGCATACGAGAGGAGCCATTTTATCCTGGAGACGACCAGTTGATAGTCCGCCGTGCACATTAAGGGCAGTGCCACGAACGTCTTAAAGAGAGCGACCTAGTCCGCGACTCAGCTCTTCGATAACCTCGATAACCTCGTTTTTGGTTGTTGTTATGTTTCTAACACCATCCTCTGAAGTCCAAGCTGTCATACAAACTGTAGATCCTAAATGATCCTTTGAAGCTCTGCATGAATGATGGAAAAACTTCTCAAATTGATGGTGTAGACCTCAATAAGCAACTCTGTCATTTTTGTGTGCGTTATGGCCCTAACTTCCCAAAAAATACTCGTATTTTACGAGATTCTGTTGGATATGTAAAACAAATTGAAGAACAAAATCAAATTTCACGTAATCAATCGAAAAGAGAACAGAGACTTTTCGCGCCACATTATGAAACAACGAAATATCACTTTCATATTTAATTAATACTTAACTATAAACCAATTTTCAAATGCATTTCTGCCTTTTCCCCCAATGATTAATCAATACCCATTTCTGCATTTTAATTTATTTCCAAATGTTTCTCCAAGCCCACACTATAAATACCATGAAAACTGTAAGTTGACTTATCATAGTTTACCTTACTCTGTTTCCAACTAAAGCTCCTCTGCCTTTCAATTCTTCCAACAACTCTTAAAACTCTCTTTGATGATGGAACTCGGAGCAACCCATTTTCCCTTCTATCCACCAACCCATGAAACCGATCACTACCATCTGCAATGCACCTTAGAAGAAGTCCTTTTTTCTTTCCAAACGGAAGATCTCGAAGAACCAGTTCTTTCCGATAGCTCGAGCGGATGGGAGATCAACAGACTGCTGGAGATCGAGTCCGATCTCTTCATGGACTTGAGCACCAGCTCCTCCCCCGTCTTCGGTCTCGACTCCGCCGAATTAACTCCACTGACGGAGGAAGACGAGGAGATGGTCACAATTGGCGACGGAGAAACAACAGAAGCGGTCACCGAATCAGAGTTGGTCGTTAAAAAGGGACCGGATTCCGATTCTCCATTGATGGAAGAATACGAGGAGAAGAGGCTGCCAAGCCTGTTGTTGATGGGAGCTGAAGCCATCGAAGCAGAGAACTTTCCGCTCTGTTCCTCAGTTATCTCCGAGCTGACTCAGCTCGTGACCGATCAAAGAGTGGTCGCTAAAACCGGCGACGCCTCGTTAGAAAGGTTGGCCTGGTTCTTCACTCAGGGATTGCGTCACAAAGCCCAAATGACTACTTTTAGCAACGAAATTTTGCGGCAGTTCCAACAACCGCCGCCAGAGCCTCCAACTTACTCTGTTTCATCCCCTGCTTTCCACATTCTCCAAGAGCTCTCTCCATACATGAAATTCGGCCACTTCACAGCCAACCAAGCGATTCTGGAAGCTGTATTGGACAATCGAAACATCCATGTCATCGATTTCGACATCAACGAAGGTCTCCAGTGGCCCCCACTAATGGCAGATTTAGCAGCAGGAGGAAGCTCCCCTGCCTCCCTGAGACTCACGGCATTGACGTTGAAGAACCACAATGCGTCTAATTTTGCGATGGTGAATCAAACGGGAAGGCTTCTGAGGGAGTACGCCGACTCGATCAACTTATCATTCGAATTCGAGGCGGTGGAGATGGCGAACGAGGACGATTTCGATGCCATTCGAGTCGATGAGAGCAGAGTACTCGTAGCGAACTGCATGATCCACCAGCTCCATACTCTAAACAGAAGCTTCCCATTGCTGAAAACTTTCCTCTCCGGGGTAACGAATCGACTTTCGCCAAAACTAGTGGTGTTGGTGGAGGAAGAGGTGTACAACTTCGAGAAAATCCCATCAATGTCGTTCGTGGAGTTCTTCTGTGAGGCTATCCACCATTACACTGCGCTATCTGAGGCGTTGTCCGCGGATGGGATCGGTGGGATGGGGTTGGAGATGATGGAGAAGGAAGTTTTGGGAGTGAGGATAGTGAATAGCTTGAGGGAGTTTCCTTGTGGGGCAAGTGAGAAGTTGGAGTGGGGGGATGGGTTTGAGTCTTTGCAAAGACTGTTCAAGGCAAGAGCTTTTAGTCACTATAATGTGTCTCAAGCTAACTACTTGGTTAGCTTGTTTAGTGGTGGCTATTGGGTTCAACATGAGAGAAATCGTTTGGCATTGTGTTGGAAGTCTAGACCTTTGGTGACGGCTTCGATTTGGTTGCCAAAGTGTGGAAGGAAGAGAAAGAAGTAGGCATTCTAGTCCGAATTGTTAAGGGCGTCATTAGGACTCTTTTACGATGTTTCTGTAGGAGTGGAGGCGTTCTTTTTTCGTAGCATTAGGTTTGTGCGGAGATTAGAGTGTTTATTAAGAGTAGAGAAGACTTCTATTTCATTGTACATATTATGAATATGATGTTATCTGGGGTGTACTTTAAGTCTAATATTGATGATCATATGAAATAGTTGATAGTCAATATGTTTATGTAGTGATAAGTGATGGTTCGATTTACTGAACAGTTAGAGTATTTATCTAGACAAGGATGTAAAAAAGGAAAGAAGGAAGGGGAATTTGAGCTAGTAATTCGTTTGTAAATACTATGAAAATGATGTTACTTATAATGCACAGTAAGTTGCACCGATGTTACACGAAAATGACAATGACAAGTAGTCGTATGCTGATTTCATTTATGAACACGAAGATTTTAAGACGAGATTTTATCATTCAAAATTTAAGTATTTCCTTCTTGGACGTTCCTAAAATTAAGTAACTCAACATTTTTTTTTTTACACAAAGGGATGGATAGAATCATAGAATTCTCATATAAAAAAAGACTAATTCCCACCTAAATTATTAAGAAACCCTTAGATAATAGTGTTTATACCAACTAGCTAACTACATAAATTAATCTATACTAACCCATTTTGGAGGTGTGACATCAAGGCAAAAAAAGTTGTCTTGATGATGAGTATGTTTTGGTGACCAAATAGAGTGCTTATTAGTTCTATAATAATGTCTTATGTTCAATGATAGTGAGGTTGTTAATAAGAGCCTCCATCTAATCACCTATAAGAAGCAATATAATGTTTGTAAGTATTATTATGAGTATGATGTTGTTTTCATGATGCAATAGTGGTGGCGTTGACCATTGTTTAAATGAGAGGCTTCTATTAGCACCCAATTTGGCTCTCCTTTTGGCTTCATATATGACGTGAGAGACAGTTTTTCTTGTCTGCGATTGAATAAAGCAAGTTGAAATATTTCTTTTAATAACCCCGACTACAAACGCATACGTTCGAGATTACTCTGATCTCGTGTATAATTTTAATGATTGTTCGATCATCCTATATGGTGATAACAGTCTTCCATGAAGAATCATGATCCATTTCAACTGATTGCTGCAAGGAGAAAACTAATTAGATTGCTCATTCAATTATGCATACATGATCTTCTTTCTTTCTAACTGAATTCATATTCTTGATCTTCTCTCGCGGTCGCGTATTAATGACATAAATATGTTATTTCCCATTACTTTTAGTAACTAGTTTAAAGAATCCTCCAAAGAATCAGGGGATTGTAATGTTCTTTACCATAAGCGACAGAGAGTGACTGCAAGTTAAAAAGACAGCAGCACAAAGAACAATCTGCACAAGTCAATCTGCATGCAATATAGAAAGAAAGAAAAAAACCCCCCAAAAGTTAAGACATGTCATTTGATTCCATGCAACCCACAAATCGCCAAACACTAGAAGGTCACAACTTTATGCTTCTTGTTGAAATGGACAGGTGTCTGTACAGTCATCCCATCTCTATCCAGCATTTCCATTTTTAAAACCTTTTTCTCAGGTCAACCATGCTCTTACCTCATCACATTGGAAGATGCCAAGTGATGGTGGAAGATTACCAATCGTCCAATCTTTGCTTGAGCAGTAACTTGTAGGAGAAAGTGTGAAGCTTTGACTGAGAAAAATGGTTAAATGATGACTGGTTTAAGAGTCATTGGTTGCCTGTTCATGGTTGGACCTTTTGTGTCTTGCAGGTTAAAAAGTGTTATCAGCTATTACAGGCTCTTCTGCGATAAGATTGGAAGCCACATTCTTCTCATTGTTCTGTGCCACAATGGTTAAAGACTATGCAACCATGTATACATACATATGAACACAATTGCAGTGTACTACAGGAGTTGCTTTGCTACAAGAGGACACTGTTATAACCAGGGAAAGGATCCTGCAATGTCTCTTCGTCTGATCTGGCTCTTAAGATAATGGGTTGGATTTCCCAATTCCATTTCCTTGCCCGACAAGAATCGATGACCATAAAACTCTTCAAAAGACAGTCTGTGCTCTGCAGCAATGGAAAATGGAACAACCGCACCGGATTATTAGTTATTACTTTTCTTCTGGAGTAAGTGGGCGATAACAAGAATCAAGTTCAAGGTAAAGAAGCTTGAATCACATCGAACCTGGGTTTGGAGAGAGCAGTTTTGAGCATACATCTATGCAGTCAGGATGCAACTGTGGAAGTACGAGTTGAGAGAAAGGAAGATGCGCGGATGACTTGATATTCTGCAGCAGCTGAAGCAAGGTAACCAGAACCAGATTAGTTTTAGAATGTGAAGAACATCATTCGGAGAAATGTTTCCAACTTTACAAGACATATATTCTACCTGGACATTACTTCGGCCATGAAAAGGTGGGTACCCATTGAGAAGTTCGAAGAGAATGGCACCAGTACTCCACATGTCAACCTATATGAATCATACCTCATTTCCCAGATTACTCAAGTTGGAAGATAAAGAACGACAGGAAAGAAATAGATAGAAAGATCTTCACCTTAGAACTGTATCTCTGGAATTGAAGAACTTCAGGAGCCATATACAATGGAGATCCACAAACTGTTTCTGCATACTTGCCCGGATGTATGCCTCTGCATTGTTCGGCACACTAATTTTCTTTAGAATAGAGAAAGTAATAAACTTAAATCCAATAGAGTGGGGGAATAAGAACAAGAACAAGAGTTAGTGTCTATTCCTCCACTGTGTTATTTATCTTAGCTTATTCCACTGGTGTGTAAACATAGCATAAGAGAGCACCTAGACCTTAAAATTACCTCGATAACCCAAAATCAGCGATCTTGAGAACCAGATCATCATCGTCTTGACCACTAAGTAGAATATTCTACATCAATCATCAAAGCAAAAGTGAACACCAGGCTTAGAGAACTAATCATTTAGATAGACAAGCAGCCTTTTGGTAACATGTTCAGGATTCGACATTCTCATACCTCTGGTTTCAAGTCTCTATGAACAATATGATGGCTGTTTAGCACTTCTAAACCAGCCCCTGCATTCCATTTCGCATTTACGTCATGCAAGCTTGACAGACATCTATAGGCAGAACAAAGATGTTTTACATCTATAAAACAGTATCAAATTGCCACCTAGTTGTTGCATGAATCTTCTTGCAGCTTTCTCTTCAACTCTCCCATGATTTCGAATATAAGCAGCCAAATCTCCCAAGCCACAGAACTCCAGTACCATGAACACAGAATCATCATCCTGTAAACCAAACCGGATTAGCTTCATCGAGCCTAATTCAATGCACACAACCTAATCGAAAAAGCCACATATAAGCATTTGCTGAACTGGAGAAGCTCATTACTTCTTTCAACTTAACTTAACAGTACAGTGAAACTACTCCATTCTTTGCTCAATTATATCCATTCGGCTATCAAAATCGGTTTAGGAAATGAATAACAACCAAGGGCAAAAGCCAGCAAATTGGTTTAGCAATGTGCAAACCCATGTCGAATTGAGATTCCTGAGCACTATAAATTCAAGGAAGAAACTAAAATTCACCAATTACAAGTTCATCCATCCATGAACCAAACCCTGGAAGAAGCACAAACCCCTCCAGAGTTCGGTTGAATTGTAACATAAAGGTTCAGTCTTTCTACTATAAACAGCAGTAGAGAACGAGGGAAAGAGAGAACCTGGAAGAAATGGAAGAGTCGAATTATGTTGGGATGGTGGACGGATGACAAGAAGCCAAGCTCGCAATCCAGACAGTCCTTCATGTGTTTGTTGAGCTTCGACAGCTGAACTTGCTTCACCACCACCGTTTCTCCCGTTGCTTTCCTCTCAGCTTTCCATACCGTCGACGACGAGCTCTCTCCCAGTTTCGATTTCAGAACATAGTCTCCGACCACCGCCGCCGCTCCGCCGTTCATATCCCCTGATGAAAATCAAGACACTATGCAACCGAAAATGCCAGAAGTCCAGAACCGTCAATTTCAATGAGGGATTTCACCATAAGTTGGAGGAGTTTACCAGGAAAAGAAAGAAAACAGTGGAGAAGGGACCAACTTGTAAATTTTGCTACAAGTTGAGAACTTGTTTGCAACTTAGCCAACTACTACTTATAGAGAGAAGCGAAGCTGGAAAACGAGGGTCGAGGGAAACATTCAATAACCATGGCGCCCTCGAACAAGAAAGGCAAAGGAAAGGCGGGTTCGGCAGATTCCAAAGCGTCTACAGTACCAAAACCTTCCACCGCCAGCGACTTCCCTTCATGTCTTCGGTCAGTCCCTCCGTCGTCGGTAGCCATCACCATCCACGCCAAGCCCGGCGCCAAATCCGCCTCCATCACAGGTAGGTTTTCTCTCTTCTTTCATACGATAATTTCTGTATCTCTAATTCTTCCATTTATTGGCGTCTCTCTTATTTGTTGTGGGGTTTGTTTGCTGTGTGAAGATAGATGTCAGTGACGAGGCAGTAGGAGTTCAGATCGATGCCCCTGCAAAGGACGGCGAAGCTAACGCAGCTCTACTCGATTACATCAGCTCTGTAAGCTACAACTCGAAATTTTTTTCACTAAATTTCGCAACTTTCTTAGAATTGGGGAGATGGGTTGTATAGTGAGAAAGAATATGGCTCTGGGTCATAAGAATTTGACATGGTTGGTCCAGATTTTCTTCATTGGTGAGCTACTCTAATGATGTTCCAGTCGATTCTTCTCGTTGTAGTTATGTTCTGGCCTGAATAGGAATTGGCCTGTGAAAAGCAACATTGAGCTGATTTTGGTTGGAGAGAATAGAGTTCACTCTTAGATCAAATCATGGTATTATCATTGAATTACTTATGATTTACTTGCTGGTTTGAGTTATGTAACCACAGGATTCATTCACTTAGTCTAGTTCATTTGAGTTATATCTTGAAGGCGGAACAGTAGCAGCTGTTGAGTTACTGGCGAGATGATCTTATTGTCATCGTTGAGTATTGCTTTTATGCTCAGTTTAGGAGCCTTGGCTGACCTTTTTGCATCTGTTGGAGTTTGGGCGAGAAGTAAAACACTTATGTCTGAATGAAGCCTTTCTTTCCTAAAGAAAATGAGCAAGTTAAGAAAAGGGGCCTTCCGCAACATGAACTGAGGCATAATATGTATCATCATTCCTCAAAGTTACGAATTGGGTAATAGTTCATAGTTGTTAAGCTGCGTTGGTCGTTATTACTAATGGCGATCACTTTCACGAAGGGTTCTAGCTAGTATCCTTTCCTGAGGAGAATTGCCATTTGCTTAGAGCTGACAAGGGCAAATTGACAGCTCAAGGGTTCTAGCTAGTCGCTACTGCTAATGGTATAGAATAATATTTTGGTAGCTTTCACCCATTATTAGCTACATAAGTTGTCTGAAACATAACTTTGAATTGTATATTTCAATGGGTTATGCAGTAGTATCTGCTTTTTGTTTGTTTGTTTGTCCAGTCTTACTCAGCTTCTCAAGCTATCCTCGGCCCTCATGGGTTCTTTTTCTTGATGGCGAACAACAGGTGTTAGGCGTGAAGAGAAGGCAGGTATCCCTCGGTGCTGGCTCGAAATCGAGAGACAAGGTCGTAATAGTGGAGGAGTTAACCATACAAGATGTCTTCAGTGCTTTGAAGAAGAGTCAAGACTTGAAATGAAAGTGGTTGTTTTCTCTTTACACAGCAAAGTCACATTGAATGTGGAATAGTTAAGCCTAATGTAAGGGCACAGCCAGCACTGTAGTTTATATATCTCTCACCATTTGGTGGGACAGACTAGGGGATGGAGGTCACCCATTGCTTGCTGTCGAAGGCAGGTTGTTGTTGCCATTTTGGCTGGAGATTTGTAAAAGGTTGAATGGAGAAATGAACTTTTTAGCTTTTTACCTCTTCTTTTCCTTATTGTCTGAGTTCTCAGAAGACAAAAATGGAGATTTACAAAGAATGAAAGACAGTATCTCATACAATCATAGTTAAGTTGAGAAAAGGACGAACCAAATCCGCTAAAGACAGACAGGAAAATGGATCAATAACGTAAAAGCAAGAAAACAACAAGCACACAGAAGAACGAGTCTAAAGCCAGTGCCCGCCAACCCACATCCAAGTAGCGAAGGAAGTACGACGGGGTAATCCTGCAGCAGCCAGATCAACAATGGGTGAATAAGGATTTGAAACCAGAGCAAGTACCAATTCAAAGGACTAAGAAAACGTTCTTCAACATGGAAACCCACCTAATTATACTATCATAGTATTTTGATGTTGAAGCAACCGATAGACATAGTGAAAGGACGTAACAAGATCATTTTCATCTTCTCCATGCAAGCAGGTTCTTAAAGAAACCTATATACTCAAACTAACCTTGGTGGATGAAAGGCTCTCGCTATCTACGAGAAAGGGTAACTAGCAAACTTCCCCAACTACTTACTATACAAGATCTTGATTCTTTCTACTGTGTATGCTACAGTAAGGGAAGCAAAAGGGGAATTCAAATCTATGATCGCTTGTTATCAACTAACACATATCTTTTTTTTTTTGTAGAAAGCAGACGCAACTGCGTCCTATATCATATCATTAATCAAACGATTCCTGAAAATTCCCATAGAATCGTGGTACAACCAATAACAGAAGTTCGGGTCGCTCACATCGAATAGATGTGTGCCAAAAGAAGAACAATGACCCTTAGTAGCTAAGAAGTCAGCTGCAAAATTACATTCACGATAAACATGATTGAATTCAACAGTCCACTCCCTCAAAAGTAAGCTACTAAACTGCTTTGCAAGCAGCCCGTGACAGTGATCAGTATGATCTCTGTTTTTGATGATATCCAACGCTGTTCTAGAGTCCACATTCAGCTCAACATTTCTGTAGCCAAGCTTCCAAGCAAGTTCCAGACCCTCTGCTGCACCCTTCAGCTCCGCCCTGGTGATAGAACACTTCCCGAGATTGCAAGTAAACGCCCCCATACATCTTCCAAGGTGATCTCTCAGCAGCCCACCTGCAGCAGCACTTCCAGAAGGTTGAAGGACAGATCCATCTGATTGGACCTGAATCCATCCCTCTCTAGGAGGTTTCCAAGCAATCTCATGACTTGTCTTGGTGGCTTTGGGTGACATTAAGCTCTTCTGTGCATTCAAAGTGGCCCGACAATAAATATTGATCCATGCTGTGATTCTATGAATAAGTCCTTCTTCACAGAACCTCTTCCCATCCATCACTTCCTCGTTCCTTTGCTTCCATAGACTCCAACAGATGATGCCGAAGTCCACACCTTTCTCAGGGTCCATCATATTCCTATGCAGCCATTCCTGGAAGTTCAGGTTCTTGTCTTCAACCGTAAGCTTGTTACCAAAGAATTTCCAAACCCCAACTGTCTTGTTACAGGATCTGAGGATGTGCTCTGTGGTTTCATCAGCTATTCTACAGAAGTTGCAGCAGCCATCCACAGCCAGCTTCCTCTTCTCCCTCTCCTTGTTGGTAAGCAGTCTATTGTGGCTTGCTAGCCATAAGAAATGCTTGATCCGACTAGGGCCTCTCCATTTCCAGAGATCCTTCCAAGTCTGCAGTGGTGGATCCTCGTTTTCCCCAGTCACAAGAAGGTAGGCAGACTTGAGTCTGAACCTTCCGTCCCTCTCAATTCCCCAGATTGTCTTGTCCTCTCCTAGCCCTGTTTTTGGAGCTTCAGTGCCTGCAATAAGATCAATGACATCATTAGGGAGGTAAGATCTCATCCTGGTCCAGTCCCACTCACCTGAGCCATCCACCCAGCTAGCCACTGATGCTGCCAGCTCTTCCTCTGTCAGTGCTCTTAGTGCATACTCTTTCAGAATCAGTTCACAGGAGATCCAGGGGTGAGTCCAGAACCCTGTTGTTTCCCCATCTCTTAAACTCCACAAGGTAGCCTTCTTCATAAAGGGCATAGCTCTCACTATTCCCTTCCACAAGCTTGAGTGATTGCTTTTTTTCATAGAGCAGATCCTTCCCTCCTTGTGGTGAAAGTACTTACCCTGCAAAACTTTAACCCATAACTCAGAATCATTGTTGAGAATTTGCCATGCCAGTTTAACCATATAAGCCATATTGAGGCTTCTAGCAGACCTAAGACCAAGTCCACCCTGATCCTTAGGTTTACAAACAGTGTCACAGGCAATCAAGTGCACTTTTCTCTTCCCCTCACTAGACCCCCAGACAAAAGCTCTAATTTTTTGGTCGATTGCATCACAAACTGAACAGGGAATAAGAGAGGTTTGCATAGCATAAGATGGTATTGCATTCAAGACAGTAGTAGCAAGGGTGACCCTTCCAGCCAGGGAGAGGGTTTTTGCTTTCCATGTTGAGAGCTTGCTATCCATTTTTTCAAGTATGTACTTGTAAGTTGATTTAGACATTCTACCATGGAGCACAGGCACCCCCAAATACCTACCCAGGTCCATAGTAGATTGAATACCCAACTTAGCACAAATACTTTGTCTAGTACTACCTCTAATGTTCTTAGAGAAGTAAACCCTGGATTTCTCTTTACTAATAAGTTCTCCTGAAGCCCGGCAAAAAGAGTCAACACACTTCATGATAATTTCAGCCTGCCTACAGTTTGCCTCAGCAAAAATGACTAGATCGTCTGCAAAAAATAAGTGGGAAAGGGCAGGACCACTAGCAGATAATTTAACAGGTTTCCAGTTCTTGTTACTAACTTCCTGAAGAATGCTATGACTAAGCCTTTCAACGCAGAGAGTGAAAAGATAAGGGGATAGAGGACATCCCTGACGTAGGCCTCTGCTTGGTTTGAAGCTCTCTGACTCCCCCCCATTCCACAACACTTGCATTTCTGAGGTTGAGACACACTCCATGATCATCCTAATGAAGTTCTCTGGTAGACTAGCACATCTCAAGGTCTGCTCCAAGAATTGCCAGTCGATTCTGTCATACGCCTTAGCAAGGTCCACCTTCAACAACATGCTCCCTTTCTTTCCCGTTTTCCTTGC